ATAATGACAGTAAAAAATCCTTCTCCTAGGAGATTACTCATCCTCTCAAACGCATACGAAGAATTATGTCGAGTAATGTTCACTTCTAGTTACTATTAAACTAGTATCAATTATTGAAGACGTGCTAAAATGGCACAAACCTCTTTTTTAAATCATGTTTTATGTCCTCCTCAACCTTGGAGATGAATTTCCCTGATCTACCCATATACGACTCAACATCTAAATCAATCTCTATTCGCAACGATGGCTCATAAGTACGCTAGTCACAATTCTACATTTCAAAATTGTCAACGTAACATCTTTTATAAACCTAGTACTCCCGGTGAATTGAACAACTTTTGGTATGACATAATTATTGAAATTTCATTACTGTTATAATTTCATGTCATGTTTTGATTTTCAAAACTATTATTACCTGATCATTTACATTTTCTTCTTCTAAACCCCAAATATTTAGTACTATTTCTATAAAGAAGACATACTATACTTAATAATACAACTATTTTTAGAAAGTTAACTACTTCCTACGTTCAACAGAAATTTGTGTTTTGACGTGAAAGCGGCTATTATCGATTTTTTCTTCGGTTTATCGAATAGTTCTCAATTGGGGAAAATTTATAACATAATTTATATCTTTTGCTCGAGGTATGAATCATTTTTGCATAAGTCGCGTTTATAACTGGGTAAAATGAGATGAATGAATTACTTCACGATTCGTTTTTTGCGAATATCTTGAAGTGCAATGGAAATGTAAGTTTTTGATTTCGGAAAGGTTTTTTGCAGGAGAGAATAAGAGTGACAGGCCAGGTTCTTACAATAATTCGACTATTTCTTTTAGATTGTTAGGATTTTAAAAAAAATTCAATAGCTGAATTTGAATGTTCAGTCACGTTTGAAAAAATTTAATAGAACAATCTAGCAATTTCTCGAGAGAATTCTATTGGATTTAAACTTTTTATTGGTTTTTGGCCGATTCTATTGAAATGTTCAGACGGAAATATTTTATCGAAAAAGTCTACCGAATTCGCTTTTTCTATACAACTTATTCAATAGAGATATTTTCCGTAGAAAATCCTCGAAGCAAATTTTGAAAGTTTCTTTGTTTGATTTTTTAATAAGAGTTTTGTTTGATTTTTGAATTAGAGAAGAAGGGAAATGCAGCGAAAAAGATTGGGAAATTTCATGTTGAGGAATTTCTGTAGAAAATTTCTCCACTATTGTTTTGTGTTATTTCTCCTAATTGTTTTCATTAAACATTTCCCATGATATCTTTTCGTGCGTGATCAGTTAGTCGTCGAAAATTTCAAGATTTTTTACTCGAAATTTCCGAAGAAATCTTCTGACAGTGTAGGCTTAAAGGTCACCAGTTCAACGTGTGATTAATTGCACTCATCTCACTTCACTCTTCCTAGCAAAATTGGGGAGGCGAAACGAAATGGAGTATTTTTTTACGTCTACGTGTGAAGTAGCATTTTGCGAACCCGAGGGGATTTCAAAAACATTAAAAGTTTAAAAACCTCCAGTTCACTCTCCCCTCCTCCAAACAATTTATTCACAAACTTTTAACCCTCTACTGGTACATTTCCTGGACGCTCCTTCTACGGATACACTGGGGTGATTTGCTACCCCATTGCTACATTCACGCTGCGTTAGCAACGCAACAGCAGTGGTACATTTTTGCGATATTTTCTCCTGTGCAAAATTGATTCAAACACTATCAGAAATACCGAAAAATTGAAAAAATTGGGTTTCTAAAATGCATTGTAGTTTCTTTTCTATGGAACTTGTGAGAAAAAATCGAATGGTGTTCTCTCCTACAGACATCATACTCCACAGTGAGTAAAAAACGACAGAGTTCTCAAACAAGTCTTTTTTGTGCCCAAAAAATAGTTTTTTAAAAATTATCAAAAAAGGATTTTTTGTGCTAGACATCCCAAGAGTGCCCCGAACTCGATTTTTCCATCTTACGAGAAAACAGTTCTGACGATATTTTTAAAAAGCGAATCCGTAGTAGATTGATAAATTCTAAATACTGTGATTTTTTTGTAAAATTTTATAGTTCATAGTTTCTGCGATATTCACCTCTAAAAAATGGAAATTTCGTGAAATTATTTCTAATTTGTTTCAAACAGTTATTGTTGCCTTTATCAACACATATGAGGATAGAAAAACTCAATAACTTATGAGAACGCAATAAATAAAAATTGTCTTGGGATATACCTTAACCCTCGATCACTCGCTCAATGAGCGCGGCGCCACCCGTTTTCGTTTTTTAATATTTTAACGTGTTCCTCAACGCTTAAAAATTCTGAAAAAATTAGAGCTCCTAGTGCAATCCTTTTATTAAGCGTTGGCGTTGTCCGTTTTCTTCTCGGGAAATTTGTTTAGCTAAAAAAAGAAAAGAAACATCGAACGGACAGAAAAGCGGCGCCGCGCCTCCCGTTGGGAGTGAGTCCCTGTCGACCTCTCGAGCGGCAATGTTGCTACATTCACTGCCACACTTGGAATAAAGGCATTGCGGTAAGCGCCAAGGTGGCAACAGCGCGCTCGGTTTAACCCAGCGAGTGATCGAGGGTTAAAACTGGTTAGAACGCAGAACTGAGGTTTCCGCTGCGCCAATAGTACTCAGAAACCTCCGAACATAATTACTGTGATGGATAAATACCGCGGAGTGCACTTACGTAGAAATGACAATCAAGAGAAAATGCGCTGGGGTGACGAGCGACCCCAGTGTCTCCGCAGAGGGTTAATTACGTAGAAACAAGCACATCAATGACGAAAATTCAACAACCAAAATGCTAATCAAAGCATCAACTAATGACAATGATAGTCTCATCAAATACATTGATACTCTCCTAAAGTTCAGTCACTCGTATCCTAAATACTTGAGTTAAAACGATAACAATTGGAAAGCGCATTAAGCATTCCTAAAGTCCGTCGAGGGAAAAGGTAATTACAGTCTAATAGGAAATCGTCAAATATTCTCTCCCCACAAACACCCCCTTCATCCGCCTCGTGCCCGTAATAGCACTTTGCAAAACAACGAGCTTACAAAGTCATACGGGGCGAGCGATGGAGGGGGTCTGGACGCTATGCCTGATCTACCTCGTGGCAAACCTCCATGTAGTCGGGATTGTGCATAATGTCCTTTATCATGTCTTTCAGAATATGATAGCGTGGAAACATTGGGTAAACTTTTGAGCTATTGTAGTCTTCCTAGTAACAGAAATAATAATTCACTATTAAATATCTACTGAAATGAAAATAAATATTAAGGGTTTAAATTCTTTAACCATAACTGACAATCTCAATGAACTGAGGTTACGTACAAGAAAATTTCATAGAAAAACCTGGCGCATTCGCTGGGAAATTTTATCGGATTTCCATTAAAATAGTATGTTTTATGGTACGGACTGAAAAGTGCACTTTTCGAAACGGTTTAGTGTGCGCAAAGCGGTTGTTTTCTGTACAGCGTGCGTAAAGTTCACGAGCGTGCGTTAAGTAAATTCTCGTGTGTAAAGCTTCGTTTTACGCACTTAAAATTCGCGTTGTAATTATAAGTAATTGTAAAAGTCCAATTTCCGCCACATTGTGATGAAAAATATCGTTCGATACTCGTGGGAAAAGTGTTTTTTGGCTCGTGGGAGGTTTATAGCACGAGCCGAAGGCGAGTTTTTCCGCACTTTTCCGCACTCGTAACGAAATATACTATTTTGTCATTCCGGCCATGAGGCAGCGTTTCACGGACGCTCCGCGTCATATGATCTCGCCTTCGGCTCGAGCTGCAAACTCATGTTCGCCATAAAAGATTTTTTCGGCCTAGTGACGAAATATACTATTCTGGCGAATATGAGTTGCAATCGTATGAGCTAGAAGTTTTTTTAGGCCGTATGTCGAATAATATTTGTTGACATAGCAGCTGTAAGCAGCGATTTACGAACGCGTAGCGAAAAATCTATTCGTTCTCCACCGATTCTACTTTTATTTGTAGATAATATCTAATAAAATTTGACATTTTTATACAACTACACGGAGAGAAATAGTCAAGAAAAACTACGGAACATTTCACGTAATCCGCAAGCGAGCATCGTTTTCAGTGAATTTCTATAGGAATATAGGAGAATAAATCTGAAACGTTCAGTAAATTTTCGGCTCTGTCACCGTAAAAATACGAAAAAGTCACGTAATTTTTCTGGAAGTTGTAAAATCTAACAGAAACTTCAAGACTTATTATGCCTCAGAACATGAAAATTCTTGGATGTTTAAGAATTTTTACGAAAAGTTCCGGAAAAATTACGGAACGTGTTGTTAGGAGTAATTTTTACGGAACAGATAGTAGAATTTACGTGACGATTGACACTTTTTATTGAATTTTACTTCGCTCCCAGATTACGTTTCGAAACGTAATTTTTACGTCTTTTTTCTGATAATTTTTATTCAATCTTTCTCTCCGTGTATTGCTAGACCGACGGCCGTGGCTGTGTGATTAGAGTATGGGATTGGCACGTGAACGACCCGGGTTCGATACCCGGCTGGGGAGCCAAAATTGGTAACACTCTAATTTCACAGTTTCTAATTTAAAGGGGCGACTGTACCTGGACAGGTTTTTCCCTCAAGTGAGGTTTTCCCTCGTCCTCCGGCGAATACGGTACAAGAGGTTGGGGGGTGGGAAGGGAACAAATCGTAAAAACCCGAAAGGGTATACGAGAGAAAATAATTACAACTATTGCTATAGCGACATTTACTGTAGGATTAATCTTGCATAAATTTTTCAAGTTTTTGACACTCAATTTTAGAAAAATTGGAGAATATGAGCCGAGGAATTTCTGTAGAAGATATTTTAATGGAACCAATTGTATAAAAAAATCATGTTCTATTGATTTGTTCTATGGAATTTGAAAAACGCATAGAATTATTAATAGAAGTTCAATAAAAATCAAATACAACTGTCTACTGAATTCGCCAGGTTTTTCCACGATTTTTTTTTTCGTGCATGTCATTACTGACCTTGAGGTCTCGGATGAGGTTTCTAAGGCCAGTGTATTTCTTCAGAAGTCTGTAGAGATCATTCGTCATCTGGGTATTTTCAGTTTCAATCTGCGCAGTTGTCAAATCTTGAGAGATGAAATAAAGAATGAGAATAAATTTTCATGATTACATCTGGAATCATAATGGGACTAGGCACAATTAGAGGGAGATTAAAATTTGCGGATGGATGGATGGATGGATGAATGGATTTGGTGAGAAAAAAACGTACTCTCGAGGCGATCGATGCGTTCTCTTTTACTCTCAGCCTCTTCAGCTAGTCGTGCTGAGGTCTTGACACCCTCACCGCTTTTGTGTGTTTTCTCCATAATGGCACAAGCGCGCAATACAAATGCCGGCACAGTTTCCTGCTTCTCCTGTCTCGGTATGTCGACGAGGGTCCAATATTGGGTCTCCAGTTTAATCACGTCCTGGGGAGAGTTCATCAAAGTTTTTTGAGGTTTATGAATTTTTATGAGGAATCGATCAACAGGTGAGGATTTTCTTTTAAGGTCTTTGGTTTAGACTGAGTCAGTTTGGGGGGCACTGGGGTACTTAATTCCTTTGGAAAGTTCACGGAGGGAATTATTATGAATCTTTTAGCTGCTTCATGGTGGAGGGTAATTCCTTCCGAGGAGAATTTATCAGGGATTGAGTTCAGTATTTTGATTATAAAAATAGGAAGTGCGGATTGGAATTTTTCTTTCAAATTTGCGCTTACGCCGAAGCGAAATTTATATTGTGTAACTAGTGCGTAATAGTATATTATGCCATAGGTGCCCAGAATCACGCGATTCTGGGCCCTATGACATAAAATAGTATACGAAACTCGTGCGTAATGGTGTTTTTTGACTCGTGGGATTATAAAACTCGCCTTCGGCTCGTTTTGCAACTTCCCACGAGCCAAAAAACCCATTACGCACTTGTTGCGTAATATACTATTTCGCGTCGAGTGCCACTGGGGTTTTCGACGAGTGTGAGGTTGGCGCGCTGAACTGAAGGCGAGGTGTGCCAATCACACGAGCACGGAGAGAAATATTCAATAAAAATTATGTATCTTTTTCGTAGTTCCGGAGCGAAATGTGGTTGTAGGAAATTTTACGGAACTGTCACGGAATTTTTCCAGAGCGTTCCGTAATTTTTATCTGAATCTCCTGTGAATAATTACGATATCGTCCCTTAAATTTTGCTGAGTCGATTCCGTAATCGGTGAGCGATTTGTGAGTTCCGTAGTTTTTACTGAACATTTCTCTGCGTGAGCCGAAAACCCCTGTGGCACTAGACGCGAATGATAGTTTTCTGCAGTGATGTTCACTTTTACCAGTTTGGGGAAGGGTCAATATCAATCCCCGGACTGGGAAAAGTGAGAAGCAGTACGAAAAAGATTTTTACGGCCCTGTGACGAAATGAAACATTATGTCGTCGATAAAAGTATTTTCTGACGAATATAATCTACACTTTTGAAAATTTTCCACAGAAATTTCCGAGAACGGTCTTAAAAATCTCAAGCAACTAAAAGGCTACTGAAATTTCAAGGAATTTTGTCATTGAAAATTTATGATGTCACGGGAAAATCCGTGGAAACTGTAAATTTCAGTTCAATTTTTCCGGGAAAATTGACGAAAAATCATTAAAATTCAGAGACATCTCTCCTTGAATTCCATATTCCTCTGAATTTTCAGGAAATTCCTTAAGAACTTCCTAGAATTTCAAGAATTTTAAAGCAATTCCATGAAAATTTAAGGAAAATTGGCAGTAAAATTTCATTTTCGCTTGAAAATTCGAAATTGAATTTATCGATTTACTGATTTATATGTTCTCATTGATTGATACAATTCACTGTATTGTTATTCATTTCTTTCAATTTTTCATTAAATGAATTCCTATGCAAAAAATTAATGCTTATTGATTTCGAAGACTATTTTGATAATTACATTGAAAATTTGTTGAATGTGTGTTGATTTTTTTATGTTGAATTTGTTTGTGTTAACATTTACGTGTGTCATTTCGGCTTGTAATCGAAAATTCATGTCAATGGTGGAATTCCCGTCTTCTTGCCGCTGAAAAATTTTGTCTTTACTTTAATTTTCAGAGAAACTTGAAATTCTATTGACTTTTTCCCTCTAAATTAAATTCAAGGTCTTTTTCCGAAAAATCAGTCTAATAATTCGGGCGGAAGTAGGGATAGGCAATAATATTGGATTTTTACAATATTCAAAAGGGATTATCTCCTTATATTGTTCAAAGTTTAACTATATTTAATAAATTTAAAATATTATAGAATTTATTAGCTACATTTTCCGATTGATGGTGAGTAAAATATTTGATAATACTGAAATGTAATTTTTTAGTTAACAAGCTAATTCAAAATTTAGGTACTTGATTTTCGATTATCTAAATAATCGTCAATCTTCCTACCTAAATTATTGGTTGATAGAATATTTCAAAATTTAAATGTACAAATTGATGGTTACTTTAATATTTAAAATTTTTAAGATTTATGTTAAAAATGGACAATTTCACAATTTAACGGTAATTATGATTGATTGATATGCCTGTCACTGGGCGGAAGGTGAGATTATAATCACATGTGCCAGTAAATACTTTTATCGCCGTGTGTCGTATAAAATATTACGACTTAAGCCCTAAAACTCTATTTCCCTCACCGAATATGAAAAATCGCATTTCTCTTTGCTTTTCTCATGAAATTTTCCTCATTATGGAGGGAAAAGTAAGTTACGATTGGATGGAGAAATAAAAATAAGAACTGTGTTATCCCGTGGGGGTGGATGAAGTATTTGAAGTTGTCTGAAGTGGAAATGTCTCGTCAATTTCCTTGGAAAAAGTTAATTTATGTTCCATCACGAATGATTATCGAAGTCGACGATTGAGGGCAATATTTTCAAGGTGACCTTCGGCGTAATTACACCGATTGAAATATGAAATGAACATCGCTAGTTCGCCGTGAAGAGTTTGAGCTATATGGAATGGTCTTTTTACCGAACGTTTTTTTGACGTAAGTCAATTACAGTCGAGAGGATTCGACATTTGATTGAAAAATGGCATTACAGCGTAATTTATTCTCCCGGTGAGTTTTCCTCTTTCATCGGAGCTTCATAGAGGAAGCTCCGATTTCTTGGATCAATAGAAGGGAAGAGAATTACGCATGAGTTGATATCCAGCTAATAATTCACAAATTCTTGGAATGATTTTCCCTATTCACTTTTATGGAGGAAAATATTTTTTATTTTCAGAACCAAGTTACTTATTTTGAGATACTCATGGTTCTAGAAGTCGTAGTTCTGAGAATAAGAAGCTCGTTACTTAATTTGAGGAGAAAAATCCCTAGAATGTAGTGGGGAAAACCAGTTTATTTCAAGTGAGAGAGGTTCTTAGATCATGAGCAATTGGGTTTTCAAACACAATTTCCTCTTTGCGTTTTTAAACTGAGAACATTTGAAAGGGATAAAATTCTAAAGCAATTGAACATTGATTTAACTAATAATTAATTGCATCAAGATCTCAGATGATATATTTTCAAAAACAAAGAATAAACATGAGTAAATTTATTTTAGAATAAGAAAAATCAATTTAAAGACGAGAATGTTCTTGACTTAAGAACCAAAAAAGTCTGAATTCCAAAACAAAAATTTGCTTAAAATGAGAGAAAATTTAGGCACAAAAAAATAAATTTCACGGAAAATTGTTGAAAATGAACTATTTTTTCTTTGATTTATAGGGAAAATCTTAGCATAAGTGAAAATTTTATTTATTTCTAGGATTTTCTGCTCGCTAGATTTCAATACGACAGAGTTCTCAAGTTAAAAGATATTTACTAGAAACTAAAAATTTTTTCTCTGTGTTTTTCCCAAAATAAATGTGACTTTTGATGGAGAATCAAATTAATTCCGAAAGTCCAAGGATATGCATTAATCTCTTCTGATGAACTTCATCATCATGATTTAATAAAGGCGTTAGAAAGGATGATGAACTAACCGATTTCAATAACACCTTGGAGATTATTCTAATTTATTAAAGTCGGGAACAGGAGCGCGAGCGAGATTTAGCCTCCACCGTGATTAAAGCCAGGGATATAAATGACAACAACATGACTGTATAATAAATGGCACAACAACGGATGTCCTCCAAAAGCTGAGGAGAATGGCTCCATCCATGAACGTTTGATTATTATTGGATATTACGATGACCATCATTTTTGTACAATAACTAGTGCCACTCGGCGGCAAGCGGCCAGGGCGTTGATGCCCTTTGATTATGCCCTTTTCCCTGCCAGATTTGATATTCCTTTTTTCGATTAATTCAGTAGCGAAGTGGTAAAACGGTACAAGTAAATTTCGACTATTGACCAGTTTTCAATGAATATCTTGGAATCTAAGGAAGATAGCAAAATTTTGTTATAATCTTTTTTGTGGAGCCGACGGAATGCTACAACAAATGTAATTACGAAAGTCTCGCTATCTCCCTTAGATTCGGAAATATTCCTCAAAGACTCAACTGGGAGATAAGTTGACTTAAACCGTTTTACCACATTACTACTGAATTCTTTGTAAGCGTTCTCATTGCAAAAAGCAATACGACTGATGAGAATCATATGTCCCAATTTATCAGCTGCTAAATTTTCATATTGGACCGAGGGGGCTACGCCCCTTCTCGCTCCGCTCGTCAACCCTTATATGACCCTTATATGACCCCATATGAACCCCATATAGCCCCATATGACTCCGATGACCCATATTTTGACGCCCTTGATCCTTCTGATCCTTGTGAACCTTAATCTGATAATTATTCTGACCCTCATTATAACCCTCGTGGTCTTTACTTCGACCCTCGCGAAATTTGAACTCACCATTATTCTGACCCTTATGATAACCCTTGTGACCCTTGCTTCGACCCTTACGGACCTTAATCTGACGTTCATCATGACCCTCATGACTCTTACTTTGACCCTCGAAACCCTTAATCTGACCTTTGTGACCCTTCTTCTAACCCTCATTATGACCCTCGTGAATCTTATTTCGACCCTTGTGACCCTTACCATCTGAATCTTGGTTTCTGACTTATAACCCTCGTGACCCTTACTTCGACCCTCGCAAACATTAAACTCACCATTATTCTGACCCTTACGATAACCCGCGTGACCCTTACGTCGACTCTCGTGAACCTTAAACTCACCATTATTCTGACCCTTATTATAACCCTTGTGACCCTTACTTCGACCCTTACGGACCTTAATCGGACCTTTATCATAACCCTCGTGACTCTTACTTCGACCCTTGTGACCCTTAATTTGACCTTTGTGACCCTTATTCTAACCCTCATTATAACCCTTGTGAATCTTATTTCGACCCTTGTGACCCTTACCATCTGAATCTTGGTTTCTGACTTACAACCCTCGTGACCCTTACTTCGACCCTCACAAACATTAAACTCACCATTATTCTGACCCTTATGATAACCCGCGTGACCCTTACGTCGACTCTTGTGAACCTTAAACTCACCATTGTTCTGACCCTTATTACAACCCTTGTGACCCTTAATCTGACCCTCGTGACCCTTATTCTAACCCTCGTGAACCTTATTTTGACCCTTGTGAACCTTAGTTTCTGACCCTTGGTTTCTGAACCTTCATTTCTAACCCTTATTTTTGGAATCTTAATTTCGAGTACCGAATTTGCGTCACCAGCAGTCGATTTGGATTTTTATATTATAGAGAGATAAATGATTTTCTCATGATCTAATTTATATGCTCGCTGAATAAGATTTTAATCATGCTTCATGAAAAAGAACTAAATCGTTAAATATTCTTACAGCACGAAAAAAGTTATTCTCCAGTTGGTGATGAAAAAATTTATATTCATGTAGATGAAAAATTGCATTGTTGCAAATTCAGTAAATAACGGAGAAATTATTTACCGAAAATGTCAATTAAAATGTTCGTAATTATAATTTAAAAAGTACTCGAGCTGTTTATTTCCTACTTCTTTCTTAGCGCCCGGAGTTCCGAGAATTTAGATTGCCACCGGGCGCTCGGTGGGGGTAAGGAAATATAGTTGCGTTCGCCGAATTGGCTACCCCTAGAGCCCCAGGTGCGCGACTGTAACGGGAGTCTACTGTATTGCTTTCAGATTCACATCAGTCGAATTGCTTTTTGCAATGAGAATGATTACAAACAATTAATTGAAAAATAGAAAATTGAAGCGGACAGGAAAAAGGGCGTCAATACGCGGGGAAAAATGAAAATGTCTTCCTCACCTTTATCATAACCTTCAGTAGATTGTACCGTTGAAATATATTCCTAACTTGTTTGCTGTCAGTGTACTTTGTCATAAGATCGACGAGTGCTCGTTTAGCTGTCTCGTAACTGGCATCGAGACGTATTCTAACAGCTCTCAGACGTTCATTAGTCTCAATAACTTCCTCCTTGGTTTGGCCACCTGGAGGTTCAATCGAATTAAGCCCAATTAATTGTCAATACTTATTCCACTCCATCAAGTGGGTCACTGTTCAATGTAAACATTGCCAAGGCTGAAAGTTGAATGATAAAAGAACAGGAGTGGGGGAGGACGATTTGGAGGAAAGAGGAGAAACAAAATTTGCAGACTCTCGCTCCACTGGCACGTGGTCGATGACTGCTTGTATTTGCTTTCAACCTGAGGAGAGGCAACAGTTTATTTGGCCTGCTGCCAGTGTGTACCCGTTCGACTCTCGTAGAATCAGATTAAATTTTTTTTTGTCTCGTGTACTTGGACTTTTTTCCCCTCTCTTTTCGAGTCGAACAATGGGTGATATTTAACACTGATATTAGGTGGATCTGCACGTACTTGCCGTTCCCTCGTCCTTGACATCTTGCACGATTCTCCGCACGCTCTGCGTAAACTTTCCCACCAGATTGGTGCTCGCTGGAACAGAAATTAACGGATTAACACGTGAGATCTGGCGGATGGCGAATTTCGAATTGAGTGGGTTGGGGACAGATGTGTTATGGATTTCAATTGGCGTTTGGGGGATTTGAGGGATCCCGCGGAAAGGAAAAAATATTCTAAACCAAGATTAGTATTTATTCGGCTGAATATGCTTATGAAGAATTTAACAGAAAAACCTAACGAATTCACTAGACAATTCTATTGGATTCTATTGGATTTCTATGGAGCTTCCTATTGGTTTTTAGTCGATTCTATTGAAATGTTCAACAAAGAATATTCTATTCAACTTATTCTTATCTCTTATTGTTTCAGTTTTCTTTATGAGAAAATAAGAGAAAGTTCTATAGAAAATATCCCAATAGAATAAGAAAATATCTCAATAGAATAAGTGGTATGGGAAAATCGAATTCGATTGACTTTTCCTATGGAATATTTTCTATTTTAATATTTCAATAGAATCGGTCAGATACTAATGGGAAGTTCAATAGAAATCCAATAGAATTGTCTAGCGAATTCGCTAGGTTTTTCTATTAAATGTTTTCGTGTGTGAAATCCTTATGCATCAGTCCACGTATGAAAGAATTCAACAGAAAACCTAGTAGATTTTTTGAACAATACTTGAATTGAAAAATGGGAGGAAAATGTATGTCGCGATTCTATAGAAAAAGTTGCATCAGAATAATTTTGTAATATTTTTAATATAATTTTCAAGTATAAAAATTTCGATTTTGTCTTATTAAGAATTTTTTCAAGTCGTGAAAACTTATTGGGATTTCCTATAGCATGTCCCAGGTTTTTCTCGTGAATTTTGTTCAAAAAAAAATTTAAATTACGAATTCTTGCATCCGAAACGAATCCACGTCTGCACCCGGTTTAATCCGCCCATTTTTTTCTCCACGCCGCTTTCAATTCATGTTTTTCCATTTATTGCTGTTCGACAAGTCATCGAACATTTATGTTTCGATTTTCAACCAAACGAAAACAATCTACAAGCACAATATTCCGCCCTGAAACTTTTATCATCCGCTCAGCATTAATATATCTGAATTTCAAATACAAACTTCCCTAGTTTTCTCATGTGAACGAGACGAACAGTTTCAAACGCCCGAAGTACAAACCGAAAGAAGCGGTTTTTGTTCAGAGTTATTCAGTGGTAATCTCGTTATTCCGTCGTTGTGAAACGATCGAAATCTCACAATTTTCTCCTATTAGACATTTTGGTACCTAAAAGTCTCATAACTACTTAATTTTCAATAGAATGCGACTAGGATTTTAAACCGGACGTCCTAGGATTTTCTTTTTAATTTGTCACACACTCAATTAAAATTACGAATTCCTGGATGCGAAGCGAATCCACGTGTGCGCTTGCTTTAATCCGCAAATTTTTTCCTCCACGCCGCTTTCAATTCATGTTTTTCCATTTATTGCTGTTCGACAAGTTATCGAAGATTCATGTTTCAATTTTCATCCAGACGAAAACAATCTACAAGCACAATATTCCGCCTTGAAACTTTTATCATCCGCTCAGCATTAATATATCTGAATTTCAAATACAAAGTTCCCTAGTTTTCTCATGTGAACGAGACGAACAGTTTCAAACAACCAAAGAATAACCCGGAAGGAGTGGTTTTTGTCCAGAGTTATTCGGTAGTCATCTCGTTGTTTTGTTGTTGTAAAAAGATGGAAATCCATCAATTTTTCCCTTGCAGCTACTAAATTTACAGTGAAATTCAAATAGGATTTCGCCATCAACTAGTTATTGAAAAGACGGATTACCAACTAGTTATTGCATTGCAAAAACTAATTGATGAAATTTAACAACTAATTAATTGAAATTTCACGTAATTTCATTACTAAAAATTCGAAATTGATTAACTAGTTGTTAAATTTCAGCAAATGAGTTTCTCCGTGTTTTCCTCCGCGTCGCTTATTTCAATTCATGTTTTTCCATTTATTGCTGTTCGACAGATCGTCGAACACTCACGTTTCGATATTCGACCAGACGAAAACAATCAACAACCAGAATATTCCACCCTGAAACTTTTATCATCCACTCAGCATTAATAATTCCAAATATGCTACTGAATGGAAAAAAAACCGAAAAAATACGATAATGAAAACATTAAAAAAACAAAATACAACGATTAAACTCGAGAGTCACTGAGTGACCCATGTTTATTATAATTAGACATATGTCGAACGTTAATTTTTTTCTCTACCTGTTTTTTAAAACGTAAATTCATGTAAATACCGACGTCGGTGGCCGCAGCGGCTAGGTGCGAGCCTAGTGTACGAAAGGTTGTGAGTTCGATTCCCCGTGGAACCGAGTTTTTCAACCGGAGGTTCCGGCGAGCGGGAGGTCGCTAATGTAGTGACCGTCTGTACCGGCATGGGTTTTCTGTGGTTTCCCATGCTACTCCTACGTTCTATAGGAGTGCGAATGCGGTGCAGTGTAGAATCCACAGCCGCATGCATAGGGTTGGATAGGGCCGATTAGCCAATCAGAGGGCAGAAAGGGCCAGAATATTAAAAAAAAAAAAAATTCATGTAAATATTTGTAAACACCTTAGTAAACTTGAATAAAAACATGGTTAAACAAAAAAAAAGATAAGGCATCGGACTAGAGATCAGAAACACTTAGGATCGAATCCCGGCGGGTGCTTTTTTTCATTCCTTTTGACAATGGACGTCATGGGATAATCAGTAATCGTTAAATATCGCTAATAAATATAAATAATGACATAATATTTTGAAAAACAACGATATTTGGTATTTCGAGGCTTGCATGAACCCCTCTTCCCAGGTCTCGTTCAAACCTCATCACCCAGTCTGAGAACGTGGTTATCATTTCAGAGCTCAATGAGGTCTGATCCAAGCTTGGATGCCAGCCCTCATCCAGCATTTATGGGCCTCGGTTCAAGGCTTGACTCGCCGTTTCCTTCGTCAATTCCTACCTGGGGACGTGAACGAGACGGACAGTTTCAAACGCCGGAAGAATAAACCGGAATGAGTGGTTTTTGTTCAGAGTTATTCAGTAGTAATCTCGTTGTTCTGTGGTTGTAAAAACACAGAAATTCCTCAAATTTTCCCTCACAGCTACTAAATTTGCAGTGAAATTCGAATAGGATTTTGTCATCAACTAATTGTTTTAATTCATCAAATAGTAGTTGAAATTTGCAATCTAGTTAGTGAATTTCATCAATTGATTTTTGAAATAAACATATCATTAGTTGTTGATGAAACTCAGCAACTGATTAATTGAAATTTCATGTAATTTCATTATTAAGAATTCGAAATTAATTAACTAGTTGTTAAATTTCAGCAGATACGTTCCTCCGTGTTTTTTCTTTCGCGTCGCTTATTTCAATTAATGTTGTTCCATTCATTGTTGTCCGACAAGTCATCGAACACTCACGTTTCGATTTTCAACCAGACGAAAACAATCAACAATCACAATATTCCACCCTGAAACTTTTATCATCTACTCAGCATTAATATATACGAATTTCAAATACAAACTTCCCTAGTTTTCTCACGTGAACGAGACGGACAGTTTCAAACGCCCGAAGAATAAACCGGAATGAGTGGTTTTTGTTCAGGGTTATTCAGTAGTAATCTCGTTGTTCTGTGGTTGTAAAAACACAGAAATCCATCAAATTTTCCCTCACAGCTACTAAATTTGCAGTGAAATTCGAATAGGATTTTGTCATCAACTAATTGTTGTAATTCATCAAATAGTAGTTGAAATTCGCAATCTAGTTAGTGAATTTCATCAATTGATTTTTGAAATAAACATATCATTAGTTGTTGATGAAACTCAGCAACTGATTAATTGAAATTTCATGTAATTTCATTATTAAGAATTCGAAATTAATTAACTAGTTGTTAAATTTCAGCAGATACGTTCCTCCGTGTTTTTTCTTTCGCGTCGCTTATTTCAATTAATGTTGTTCCATTCATTGTTGTCCGACAAGTCATCGAACACTCACGTTTCGATTTTCAACCAGACGAAAACAATCAACAACCACAATATTCCACCCTGAAACTTTTATCATCTACTCAGCATTAATATATACGAATTTCAAATACAAACTTCCCTAGTTTTCTCACGTGAACGACACGGACAGTTTCAAACGCCCGAAGAATAAACCGGAATGAGTGGTTTTTGTTCAGAGTTATTCAGTAGTAATCTCGTTGTTCTGTGGTTGTAAAAACACAGAAATTCATCAAATTTTCCCTCACAGCTACTAAATTTGCAGTGAAATTCGAATAGGATTTTGTCATCAACTAATTGTTGTAATTCATCAAATAGTAGTTGAAATTCGCAATCTAGTTAGTGAATTTCATCAATTGATTTTTGAAATAAACATATCATTAGTTGTTGATGAAACTCAGCAACTGATTAATTGAAATTTCATGTAATTTCATTATTAAGAATTCGAAATTAATTAACTAGTTGTTAAATTTCAGCAGATACGTTCCTCCGTGTTTTTTCTTTCGCGTCGCTTATTTCAATTAATGTTGTTCCATTCATTGTTGTCGGACAAGTCATCGAACACTCACGTTTCGATTTTCAACTAGACGAAAACAATCAACAACCACAATATTCCACCCTGAAACTTTTATCATCTATTCAGCATTAATATATATGAATTTCAAATATAAACTTCCCTAGTTTTCTCACGTGGACGAGACGGACAGTTTCAAACGCCCGAAGAATAAACCGGAATGAGTGGTTTTTGTTCAGAGTTATTCAGTAGTAATCTCGTTGTTCTGTGGTTGTAAAAACACAGAAATTCATCAAATTTTCCCTCACAGCTACTAAATTTGCAGTGAAATTCGAATAGGATTTTGTCATCAACTAATTGTTGTAATTCATCAAATAGTAGTTGAAATTCGCAATCTAGTTAGTGAATTTCATCAATTGATTTTTGAAATAAACATATCATTAGTTGTTGATGAAACTCAGCAACTGA